ACGCGAGACGAATCTTTTGAGCCTAATTAATCCGCCATCAGCACATGTGGGTTACTGTAGCACTTATGACTAATCGTAGACTAATTAGACTCAAAAGATTCGTCTCGTGATTTCTTTCCTACTTGTGCAGTTAGTTTTTCTTTTAATCTACATTTAATGCTCTATGCATGTGTCAAAGATTAAATGTAATGTTTTTGAAAAAAAAAGTTTTGGGAACTAAACGGGGTCTACCTGTCTTGAAACGAAATTTGCAAGGTGCTACTGTATTTGTTTTCGCTTTAGTACTACTCAATAGTCAAGAATACCCATGTTGCCGTCTTTTTTCGGAATAAAAAGAGAGAGAGAATGCCCATGAATATACCAGTGGATCGGGCTGACGCTTCATCGAATAATTAATTGGATTAATTTAATTGCGACACTATTATTGATTTGCGCTTGCCGTCGTGTGCCAGCTGCCCGATCGATCCTGCGTACGTGCGCCGGTCAGAACCAACCAGCCGGCGGAAAAACCCGTGTACGGATGATCGATCGAGCTGGACGATCCTTGTGCGTGCATAGCGTAAGGTGTCCCTTGCAAGCGCCGCCGCTTGCTGCAGCTCGATGCCGTTCACATCAAAAGCGACCCAAAAAAAAAAGAAAGAGAGAGAGATAGAGAGAAAAAACCGAACAAGTAAGCAACGCCACGCACCGTGTGATCGGATACGATACGGTCGATGTCTCGACGTCGACTACGAATAAACTATATTAATTTATTTAGCACCGAATGATAGTAAAAAATAATCCGGGATTAGGCTTCTCTCCTATACTGTGCCGCGTCGGTTGGCTTCTCTTGTCCGCGTCCGTGGCTGCGCTGGCTTCGCGAAGGGGAAACCAAACCGGTATCAGTCCACTCCACCTGCGAAACGTGACCGGCCGTTTGGCGAAGGGGATGGATATTCACGTTACGGTCCTTGTTCTTGTGAAATTTCCACGGAGGCCAGAAATGCCATCGCTCTTTTTTTTTTCTCGCCGCCCTGTTAGTTCAGTGGAGTAGTACTGGAATCCAATTTCTGTGGAGTAAGTTAGGAGTATTGTGGTTTGCGTTTTACAAATAAAATTGAGTCAATATATGCTACTTCCTCCGTTTTATATTATAAGATTTTCTAACATTGTCATATATATGAATGTGGGTAAAGCTAAATGTGGGTAAAGCTAGAAAGTCCTATAACCTGGAACGGAGGTAGTACCCACCTGATCAGTCGTTTTGGACGTAATAATATTATTGCTTGCAACTTGAAAAAACCATTCACCTATAATATCTATTGAAGTAAATGTACGAGTCAGAATATACTGACCAAACGAAAAAAAAATTATTTCACATTAATGCAAAAATATTCTTTCTTCATTACGACTCATTGTACTGATATTATACCAAAGTCAAAATATTACGTACAAGTGGCGGCACCGCGACATACAGAGATATACAACCATAAATATTCGTCGTCATGTGGGTCTATGGTGTAATACACCTATACATTGGAAGTTTGATTAGTCTTCTAAAATACAACTCTACATAGATTTTTTTGGGCTTAGATCATGAAATATGACTTTAATCAAGGAACTTGAGATTGTGATAAGCAAATGGTAAGTAGCCATATGGCGAAAACCTAGAAAATCGAGCTTTATAGTATCTTACTTCTAATTTGTATTCTGATTTACAATTATATATATTTTTATAATCTAAAAAGAAAAAAAAATCTCTAGACCATCTAGGAAGCGGAAGATTAAAAGAGTTTTATTTAAAAGGTTTCCAAACACGGACTATATCTATAACTAATATAAATATTCGTATTTTTCCGGTCGTCACATCTAATTTTCGTCCGTTTTTCGTCCATACACAATCTTATTCGGTTAGCAATAGCGATAGAAAAAATTGCAAAAAAAAAACCCACCGCCGCCGGAGGAGAAGAGAGGTGCGGAGGGAGCGCCGCTACAGGAACCGCCCGCGGTGGCCGCCACCACCGACGGATTCACCCTTGGACGAAGCCGACGCCGTCGTCGCCGTCGACACCGACGGGGAGAGGGAGAGGAAGAGGGGGAGGGACGGACGTCGCCGCCGTCTCCGCCGTACCCCGCCGTCGCTGCGCTGTGCCGGCGAGACGGGAAGGAGAGCTGCCGCCGCCACCGCCGCTAGCGTGGGGAAGGGCGCCGCCGCCGCTAGCGTGGGGGAAGGGCGGCACTGCCGCCACCGCCGCCGCAGCCCGCCGTCGCCGCGCCGTGCCGACGAGAAGGGAGGGAGAAGGGAAGTGAAGCGGCGCCGGTGGTGGGAGAGGCGGCCGGCTGGGGGGAGGGGGAGAGGCGAGAGATGAGGAGAGAGAGCAGCGCCGCCGGAGGGAGGGGAGGGGAAGCGGCGCCGGTGGGGAGAGGGGGAGGGGGAGAGGCGGCGTCGGGAGTGGGGGAGGCGGCCGAGCGGCTAGGGGGGTGGAGGCGGGGGGGGGGGGGGAGGGGAGGGGTGGGGAGGGTTAGGGTTAGGGTTTTGATAAGGCCATGGGCCGACCGGCAAGGGACGGAAATAAGTCTATTTTAGGTCCCTCGAGTCGGAAATAAGTCTATATTAGGTCCCTCGGGCCCAAAAAAAGAGAAGTTCATTTTTAGTTCTTCATTTTTTTAGAAGCATTTACAATTATAGTTATTGAATGTGTTTATTTCTAAGCAAACCTAAAAGGAAGGATTTTCTTTTTTTTTCCAATTAAATAATTATTAAATGATGTTTGTATTATTAAAATTAGCAATTAAGCTCTGAAAATTCCAATAAAATTCCAAACAGCACTGTCGACGTTTGGTGTCGTAATTCTGGTATTTGCATAGTATGGGGACCGTCGGTGCTAGGATATACACGAGACTGAGGTAAAAGAGACGGAGACAAGGATTTTTACACAGGTTCAGGCCCCTGAATTGTCGGGTAATGACCCTACATCTTGTTGGCCATAGCCGGAGTTACTTTTATTCACCATAATCACACCAGTACAATATGTGGGGTAGCCGATCTAACTGTTGTCGATATGTCGGTCTAAAGGTCTGACTCGTAGTCGATAACAGGGTAGCCTTCCTCCTCGAATCCGTGCCCAGCGAGATCAGAGATAGCGCTTTCGTCTCTCCTGACGGTATCCAAGGACACCGTAGGGGAATAGCCATGCCTATCCCAAGTTGATATCCGGCGGCGTCTTGTCTTGGCGTATGTTGGTTTGTATGTTGTCCCGTAGATTGCGGTGGGTGTGTTGATTGAGGTGCTCGTCTGTTGATCATGTTGATCCTGTTGATCGTCTCATGGTGAGTGTCCCCTTGTCCTCCTAGGGGGGCTTGTATTTATACCCATAGGTGTCCCATTGTCCAAGTAGAACTAGGGAAACAAATATGGATACAATCCGAGTAGTCCTTGTCGTTTCCATGTAGAACTCTGGTTGTCTTTCCTTATCCAGAACTCCCACCATATCTGAAGTCGGTTTCCGTATAGGACATGGTATGTGGTGGGTCCTGCCGAGATTTAGTCAACTACTATTAGGTATGTGGTATCCATAACCCTGACAGTAGCCCCCGACTTCAATGCAAATGAACGAATTCATATTCTCGACCGCTGACCATGGAGTAACTGTTATCGAGCTCAAATGACCGTTCTCGGTGAGTTCAGAGGTAACGTTAGACTTCCTTTGTCAGCCTCGTGCGGGCACCTAAAGGGTTTGTCTGAGTCAATCTCCGATGTCAACCAAGGAAGTACAGAGCAGACGACTAAGTCTCCCGTCTTGCTGTAATCGAGAATTTGGATTGAAGTCAAGAAATTTTATCTCGGCGGGTACACCATCTTTTCATTCTGTATTCCTTGTCGAGATCCAGCAACCGTTCTTGAGCGATCGAGAAGGCGTAGAGTCTGCGTGGAGCCTTGTCAACATTTGTCGTACTCACCTTAGTCGATCTTGGTGTAGAACCATAGAGACATGGAGTCTTCGTCAATGTCGAATAGAATTTTCCTGAAATCAATACTCAGAAAAGAATATCAAATAGAAAGAGCCCCCGAGCGAATGCTCAAAGGGTGACATGTTATAATATGTATGGTAAATTGAAAATGAATTAAATTTACCGACCAATGTTTTGTGTATGAGTGTCTTCTCTCTTACCGACTTCGATCAGTCAGTTTGTAGAGTCATACACTCTCCCTAGCCTTCAGTCTTGTCGTTGGAGAATCGTTCTCAGAGGATAAGGCTCTTGGACCCTTGACCTGACTTGGTTGTCTTTCCTTATCCGGAACTCCCTCCATATCTGAAGTCCAGTTTCCGTATAGGGCATGGTATGTGGTGGGTCCTGCCGAGATTTAGTCAACTACTATTAGGTATGTGGTATCCATAACCCTGACAAGCATAACTAATCATGGAGAATTTAATAAAATTAAATTTAAAAATGTCATTTTATTTCTCACACTTGCTTTACTTGTAAAATTATTTAATTATACACATACCTACTTAAAAATACCAAATATTTCAACGAATTTGTATTTTAATTAATTGCATATTTTTTCTGATCTGTGCGCTTCCCGGTGCAACGCACGGGTACTTTTGCTAAACCAAACAACAATTTTGGTCAATATACACACTTCGTAATCACCTGGTGCAACGCACAGGCACTTTTGCTAGTATATATATACTGTCTCCGTTTCAAAATGTTTGACACCGTTAACTTTTTAGCACATGTTTGACCGTTCATCTTATTAAAAAAATATGTGAAATATGTAAAACTATATGTATACATGAAAGTATATTTAACAATAAATCAAATGATGTAAAAAGAATAAATAATTACTTAAATTTTTTGAATAAGATAAATAGTTAAACACGTACTAAGTGTCAAACATTTTGAAATGGAGGGAGTACGGAGGGAGTATATCGGATGGAAGCCAGAAGGGGCCAATAGAAAAATTAGCCGCTGTCGATTTAAATAGCGGCCGTTGAGATCAACGCTCTTTTCCTCCTCTCCTCTTCTTTTCTCGCTTCCTCCCTTTCCCACTCCCCTCTCCCTCCTTTTCCGGAAGAAAGGCGCGGACTCCTCTCCTCCTCCTCCTCCTCGCCGTCGCCGGCGAGGCGACGAGGGCGGGAGCTCCAGCCTAGCGAAGCAAAGCTGCAGCTGCCTCAGGCCGCGCGACCTATGGCGGCGCGTGGTGCTTGCGATCCTCCTGGTCCTGGCGCCTCCCTGCGCCGCCTCGTCCTGCTGCTCGCTCTGTCGGTGTCGGCGCTCGCCGCGGCGGACGCATCCGGGGTGTTCGAAGTGCAGCGCAAGTTCACGCGCCACGGGGACGGCGGGGAGGGACACCTCTCGGCGCTCCGGGAGCACGACGGACGCCGCCACGGCCGCCTCCTCGCCGCCATCGACCTCCCCCTCGGCGGCAGCGGCCTCGCCACCGAGACCGGGTAAGTTTTACCGAAGCTTTCCCTTAGTCGTGCTGGGCGCGCCCGCGCGCGCGTGCGTGCGTTCGTCTCTGATCTCGGTGGGGAGCACACGGGGGGGCGCAGGCTCTACTTCACGCGGATTGGGATCGGCACGCCGGCGAAGCGCTACTACGTGCAGGTGGACACCGGCAGCGACATCCTCTGGGTCAACTGCGTCTCCTGCGACGGCTGCCCGCGCAAGAGCAACCTCGGGGTGCGATACTACTGACCTCCGATTCCTCCTTCCTCCCCTGCAGATTCCCCCCCTCTCGTGCCCAGATTGGATGTTTGATTTGGGGGGAGTTTTGCAGATTGAGCTGACGATGTACGACCCGAGGGGGTCGCAGAGCGGGGAGCTGGTGACCTGCGACCAGCAGTTCTGCGTCGCCAACTACGGCGGCGTGCTGCCGTCGTGCACCTCCACGTCGCCGTGCGAGTACAGCATCTCGTACGGGGACGGGAGCTCCACGGCCGGGTTCTTCGTCACCGACTTCCTGCAGTACAACCAGGTCTCCGGCGATGGCCAGACCACGCCGGCCAATGCCAGCGTCTCATTCGGGTGAGCCTTTTCTCTTCTCAGGCGAAAAAACGAAAAGAAAAACAAAAAAAAAACTAGCATGTGTGGATGGAAATCGGTGTGAAAAACCTTCTGAAAGCGATGCCAAGATCTGGGGGTCTCCCCTCTGTCGTGATTTGCAGGTGTGGTGCTAAGCTGGGTGGGGATTTGGGGTCGTCAAACCTGGCACTCGATGGGATTCTTGGATTTGGTCAGTCGAACTCGTCGATGCTGTCACAGCTCGCCGCCGCGGGAAAAGTTCGGAAGATGTTTGCGCATTGCTTGGACACTGTAAATGGTGGGGGGATTTTCGCTATCGGGAACGTGGTGCAGCCGAAAGTGAAGACAACACCGTTGGTGCCCGACATGTACGCCATTATACTCTGCCAATTATAGTTATGTGCTTGTTTTTTTTTTCTCTTTTTTTTCTCTGCTTCTGTATGTCCCTTGTTTACTTTGTTTGGATCGTTCTTCGTTGCTTGCTAAATAGAGCCTCTTTTTTTTTTTTACCAATGCGTTTAATTTGATTCGTTATATAGTCTTGCATATGAGTATATGACTGTCTCCCTGCTATGGGTCTATGAGGCTTAACTGGCATAAGAAGTCCGTAGTTTCTGGCTGATGCTTCACTTTACACCAGGAAGGTGATTTCATCAACTTTTGTGAATGATATGGGCCAAGAGTGTGATCGGTAGTTGCTTTCCTACTTACGATATTCTGTTCAAGATTTGGATTTTGCCAAATGAATTAGGATATAGTAATTTAACTAGTTGAGTAAAAAAAAGAAGAAAAAACTCAGCATCCAGAGCTTTTGACTAGTGTTTCCTATTCCCCTAGAGGCCTAGACAATTTGATAGTTCATCCTTAGATGGCAAACAAACATTTATTGAGTTGTTTGAATTTCAAACTTAGTTATGACTTTTAGCTTATATTGTTTCATTCAATTTGAATTTTGAATCATAGTATAGTATTTTTCTACCAAAATAAAAGATAATGATTTTGTATCAAATCATTACTTCCTCCGTTTCACAATGTAAGTCATTCTAGCATTTCCCACATTCATATTGATGTTAATGAATCTAGATAGATATATATGTCTATATTCATTAATATCAATATGAATGTGGGAAATGCTAGAATGACTTACATTGTGAAATGGAGGGAGTACATGTATTGAATTTTTGAAATGTTGTATACTGTTTTATAAATTGTGTCTGCTTTATGAAAGTATTCAACAACTGCAAGTGTGCAAAGTTCTCTTCTCTCTAGCATGATTGTCAAAATTTCGGTTTGCTTCTCCATGTCCCACATTCATGTTTGTGTACTGCTGTTCTCATGTGATTAATAATCGTATCATTCTCTGTTAATATGGCTTAACTTGCTTTTTTTAATTTTCCGAGATGTACAGTACATTAATAACCAGGCTTTACTAACTAAAATAATGTGCTTCTGTAGCTGTTTAGTTCTTTTAGTTGTTTTACTGGTCTCTTTTGCTGATGTTTTAGTGGGATATCTGGCTGCAACTTTAACTGAAATATCACATTTCTTTGTAAAAAGGACTAACCCAGCAGTGCTAAATATTGATCACATTTATACCTATGGATTCCACACACAGCTAATCAACTTCAAAGTGCTAAAAGGTAAAAACTCCTCGAATTAGGGTAGGGATATTAATAGATGGTTTTCTTAGCACTCCTTCATTATCTAAAATTTTGTACATATCAAAATATTGGTTTGGGGACAAGTTTGTATCTGCCAATGATTAAGCATAGTGATTCAAATCTTGCCTGATCCAATCAAGCTTGTCTGCCTATTAATCTCTGGATTACACATCTTCATGGCAGCCAAATGAGAAGCTTGGTCCTTCTCATGCATAGTGGCAATATGTTGTGTCTTTACTGATCAGTCACCAGCTACCAGTTCCACTAACCACTGCCTATGCCCGCAATGATTCCCTACTCTCTTTCATCTTGCATGGATAATTGTGTTGTAACACTCTCAACTATTCCACGATCTTGCCACTTTCCGCACTCTCAACTATTTCCTAATCTTTCACCTCCATCATGGATTTTGCTGAAATGGTGAAAGCGCTCCATACACGAGAGGGTGGTTCAGCTACCTGCTGCTGTAGATAGAATTGTGAGATCCAGCCATCCAGGATGCCTGCACCAATACATATGGCCCATATGCATATTCATTTGATAAGAGGATGACCACAGCACTTCAGTAGTTCGTTCTTTCGGCTCAATCCTGCTATATATGACTGAGCAATGTCTAAACAATATATTATACCCTTTAAAATGAAAGTTTTAACTTTTAACCTCCAATATCATTGTGCTTGCATATAACTGAGTTTTTTATGATTAAAATACTGAAATAGAACTTATTGAGTGAATGGTTATTTTCTAGTGCTAGACTGTGCAAAAGAATAAAAGACCGTGGAATGATTTAGCCATTGACATGTCATTACAAATCACTTGTAATAAGGCATAGTTTAACAATAGTGTAGGAGAAACCACAGTTCATTAGCCGCTGTATAGTAAGAGGCTAGATGCTATATTTTCATGCAACAGATTAACTGATATGCCCATGAGAGGTGTACATTTCTTATTCCTGACATTCACTTCTAACTTTTTTTTGAGGATTCGTGACATTTACATTAGTTTGTATTGCTGAGATCTTATAAACATGTTACTGTCTAGGCCACACTATAATGTCATCTTGAAAGGAATTGATGTTGGTGGTACCGCACTAGGACTTCCAACAAATATTTTCGATTCAGGTAACAGTAAAGGTACCATCATTGATAGTGGGACAACATTGGCGTATGTCCCAGAGGGGGTTTATAAGGCTCTATTTGCCATGGTACGAAATCCTTTCTGAATCAATCCTCTTAGTTGAGAGTGATTTGTGCACATCATTATACATTTTCATGATTATTGTTTTGTAGGTATTTGATAAGCATCAGGATATATCCGTACAGACTTTACAAGACTTCAGTTGCTTCCAATATTCTGGAAGGTACGCATGATAATGGTCCCTTTTACATTGCCTATCAAGGTTTACATTAGGTGGTTCAAATTATAATGCATTGGTAATATGATATGTTTCTAATTTTTGTGTTCCTATTGCAGCGTCGATGATGGATTTCCTGAAGTTACTTTTCATTTTGAGGGAGACGTTTCACTGATTGTTTCTCCACATGATTATCTTTTCCAAAATGGGGTATTTAATAATCTCTCTTGCCTATTCTTTTTTTTTTTTACCATACAACTTACAAACATTATGTTAGGCCGTGGGCATGCATGTTGAATTTAGTGCACAGATGACAGCTCCATCACAGCCACACTACTTTATGCTGTCCATTATTCATTTGGAGAAAGATACACCCTTTTATATTTTTTTTACTATGCAAATACCAACCATTATTTCTACTTTATAGATCTAAAATTTGAAACATTGGATAACTTTAGGTTGTTTTCTCATCAAAAGAATATAGTTTTTTCTTATGATCTTTCTACCATTATTGTACGTGGCAGAACTTCCTATGATACATTAATGCAAGTTGTGATAGTAAGTATTTCATGTAAATATCTAGAACCCTTTGTTGTGCAGAAGAATTTATACTGCATGGGGTTCCAAAACGGTGGAGTACAAACCAAGGATGGGAAAGATATGGTGCTTTTGGGAGGTGCATATTGCTTTGTGCTGTTCACCTATTTATGCCCCTACAAGTTTTATTTCTGTTCTAATGGTTGCCACTTACTTTAAGTTGTTCTCCTTTTTTTTTTTTTTTTTTGCAAACTTACTTTCAGATCTAGTGCTTTCAAATAAGCTGGTTCTTTATGATTTAGAAAATCAAGCTATCGGGTGGGCAGATTACAACTGTAAGTCTTTGCTCATTGAAAATTAATCTTTTGCGCTGGGCACTTAATGTGCCATATTGCAATTTGAATTTGTTAGTAGATAAATATACTCTCTTTAACATATGATTGCACATTTGATCATATTGACCTTCACTGTTGTCTCAGGCTCCTCCAGCATTAAGATCAGTGATGACAAGGGATCAACATACACTGTTAATGCGGACGATATCTCCTCCGGCTGTGAAGTTCAGTGGCGCAAGTCCTTGATTTTGTTGCTAGCAACAACAGTGATCAGCTATTTAATGTTGTAACCTGGCTTTGGAATCTTGGGTGCACAATACGTCTGTTCTGAAAATGATAGAAACTGATTTTTATTCTTACGATAAAAGGGGGGAGAAAAAGTAGAAGCTTAGACTTGACACTGTGAGCACTTGTTTTGATAGGGGCACAGAGAGAGGAAATACTACACACCTAGCACATTGTACAAACAGGGTTGGACTAACACGAGCTTTGAAAAGCATACATTTAGAAGTAAATTCAATGTTGTTTGTTTCTAGAAATTGTCTAAACTGTTCTGCTTAATAAGCGGCATCATAGTTTTAGTCTGATTGCAATAACTTTTTCCATCATTTAATCGGTACGTCTCCATCATGTGTTTTTTTCCATCATTGCTCGACTTGTGTTTTCATCACCTTTTTTAGTGTCATGTGTTAGTTTACACTTGCATTTTTTTCCCGAATCAATCAGGTATAATTGATAGTTTCCTTTTTTAGTTAGCAAAGCTACAATATTAATTAACATGGTGAGATTTAGAACCTACAGTGCAGATATAAATTTACACTCAAATATACTGAATTTACAATGTAAAACACTCATGTTTAATCTAGTGTTGCTATGAATCCACTCCATGTGATTTAGTGAATTCCTGCACAAGCAAACAATTCTTCCTCCAACACTTGATACATGAGTATTTGGGGATACAAATGGGGGAAATGGAATCAAGACTGAGAATCAGCAGTAGGTTAGAGAAGAAGAGATAGCTAGAGATTGGAGAAGAGAAGAGAGATACAAAGGTTGAAGAGAAGAGAACATCGGAAGGAAGAAGTCAAGTTTCATCTGTTCTGTTCTCCATTTGTTGGCTCTGCTCCTTTTGTAGTGGCTGGAGTGGTCGGCTTGTCGCAGCGGATTGGGCCTAGCCAGCCCTGAGCTCAATATGCATACCGATCTGGCCTAGTTACATGGCATTCTCTCCGCCTTGAAAATCAGCTTGTCCCCAAGCTGATGCAATTGAAGCTCAAGATCAATGCCTCTAGGATCCCAGGGTAGCTGCAAGTAATCATCAAGAGCTAATACATAAGCACCAGCTGATCCACAAAATGCAACCACAAGAGATGACTCCATGCCAATAGAAGTGACAAAACTTGCACTCTGGTGGATGCATTGCACCTCCATTTGTCTAGAATTATAGTTAGGGATCTTGATACTAGTCACAAGCTTTTTGGATGGAAGGACGGCAAACATGGTCAGTGATAGAGAAATGCTAGATACTGTGCCCACTTGGATACTATCATGAGCATTCTTGTACTTGCAAACTGAGCTGAGATCAAGAGTATCACTCCCTCCCTTCTTCACTGTTGTGGCATATTTTCTGAACAGTTCAATACGAACTTTGATGTTTCAGTCCTCTTGTCACATTATTAACCACAAGTCTAAATTTAACTTGAGCAGGCAGTAGTTTAGGTTCAGCCAAAAGAATTGACAGTGGCAATAGTTTAGGTTCCCACAACACACTATTCCCAGTAGTCATACCATCAAAATAATGCACATCAGGTGAAAATCTCTAGAACTTTGCATAATACGTGGTCACCAATCCACGGAACCGCACCAAAGTGAGAGCAAACAACAACCATACCTTCACACCAGATAATCCAACAGACATACCTTCTGTAGAAATTTGGCAAGCTATTATAGTAACCAAATTGACAATAACTGGATCCCAAGATCTTATTCTTGTCATCTCAGCAATCTTGACATACACAAGCTTCACTGCCAATTGCACAGTCCCAGCTTCTAGGAAATTTATCAGGGCAAAAGCAGATAATAGCCATGTCCTCCCAATTGCTACAACATGGATCCATTTGCTTGGCATGACAGGAGTCCATGTCACATCATACACTACATCTTCAGAAACACTGCAATATACAATGCTGATTTGATGATAGTATAGCAACATCATATCAACACCATCAATTTGTTGCTTTATCATTCCTTGAAAATGAAACCCTTGGTAAGCTGGAGCACCCACAATATATTTTCTCCATTGATAAGGCTTGCTCAGGAAATAATTAGCTGATAATTTGAACCGACACCAGCTCATAGCTTGCTGAATCAGTAAATTTTCATTCTCAAATTGAGCTAGACTGTAGCTTGGAACTAGCTGTCCCAATGACTGCATAGGCAGAGCAATATCCATCATATCTCCAACTAAAAAGATTTGAAAAACTGTACCAATTGGACTTGACAACCTCACACTTCAGTTGCTCTTCCTGTAACATTCGTTCACCCAACAATTGCAGACCTTCTATGGTAGCCTTGGGGATTGAACAGACTTACGATAATCTGAATCTCTAGTTTCTGACCATGTAAATTCAGTTTTTCTACTTTAGCTTTAACTTCTGCTTGAGCAGGTGGTGGCCAGGGCTGTAAGAGCTTCACCACCACGCCTCCGCTGCCTTGATTAAATATATCTGGCCATGGCAAGAATCGAAAATCCAGTGGAACTGCTAGTCTCCAGGGAGGTACTACTTGCGGTCTAGCTGTGAAATCTGCTCCTGAGACAAAATCATCGTAGCGAACCTCACATTCAGAAGAGACAACAGGAAGGTTGGTGACACCAATGTAATTGCTCTGGCACAAAGCCAAACTCACATCTGTAAATGGTCTGAACACATAAATGAGCTTGGTATCCACCTTGGTAAACTCGACACAATCATCAGTGACCATACCACCGGCATCACCATCAACCTTTTCCTTTTTGCTTTTTGTCAAACCCTTGGTTGGTTTCACTTTCACCATACTAAGCTTGTTAGTGTTGACAAGATGAGTTGATTTAGCCTCATTACTGACCTCTGATAAGATGGGTACTGAATCAATGTTGACGCTCAGTGCCGTGGCATCTCCATTGGAACCCACACTCACGGTATAATCCTCCTTGGTGTTACGGCATGTCTCCAACATTTTGTCGATCATGGCCATCATCTTAGTGTACAAGTCCTGAGTGGTTTCCTCTGATTTCAACACCTCCTTGTCTATGCCAGCCCCAACAACCTTGGTCTCGGTGGAAGGTGCCGGAGTCGCCATGGTTGTTGATGAAGTTGAGGGTGCCAATGAAGCTTTAGTGGCTGGGAACACGCATTCTGTTGCAGCTGGTATGCTCTTGGCCCCTGATGTGGTGGTGGCATAACTTGGTCCCAACGTCGAACACTTGGTGGGCATCATGTTAGCACCATTTCCAGGGAAAGACTGCGTGTGCTGGACATCAAGCAAGCAGCACCCATCGTAAATGTTGCGTTCATTGGTGTCAGATCGAGCCCTCTCCGCGTCACAGCTTGACCGGAACCAGACTAGCGCCTCAACGCCCCAACAACTAGTGGCGAGCACTTGCACTGCCACGGCTCCATAGTCGTTGTAGACTTGATGTAGTACCTCGCCAGTCACCGGGTAAAGGACCCGGCTCACTTGGACACGAAGAGCAATGCCTGCACCAGCTCCCAGCCAGCTCGGCATTTCTTCGAACACCTGGCAGGCGCCTCCAGTGCAACCCCCTCCAATGCTTGGATCTAGCCTCTGGACGTCACTGCTGCCACCGTGTGTCATCCACCTTGTCTCCTGGCCTGGAATCCCACGGATTGTTGGCTCTGATACCATATTGTTACAAATCCACTCCATGTGATTTAGTGAATTCCTGCACAAGCAAACAATTCTTCCTCCAACACTTGATAGATGAGTATTTGGGGATACAAATGGGGGAAATGGAATCTAAGACTGAGAATCAGCAGTAGGTTGGAGAAGAAGAGATAGCTAGAGATTGGAGAGAGAAGAGAAGAGAGATACAGAGGTTGAAGAGGAGAGAGCATCGGAAGGAAGAAGTCAAGTTTCATCTGTTTTGTTCTCCATTTGTTGGCTCTGCTCCTTTTGTAGTGGCTGGAGTGGTCGGCTTGTCGCAGTGGATTGGGCCTAGCCAGCCCTGAGCTCAATATGCATACCGATCCGGCCCAGTTACATGACAAGTGTCCACTGCCCAAGTGCTCTCGTTGAGTTGGAAGGAAAAATAACAGAGCTCTCGTTTGAGTTCGAGACAATCAACTCGTCACAACAAGTTGTTCCATATAAATTAGCTAAACACCCTCTCTTGTCTAATACTCCCTCCGCCCCAAAATATAAAGGATTTTATTCAGACATGACACATACTAATACTATGAATTGGTCAGCCCCAAAATATAAAGGATTTTGGTCAGACGTGACACGTCCCAATATTACGAATTTGAACAGAACACGTGTCCAAATTCGTATTTAGTAGGATGTGTCACATCCGGTCAAAATCTTTTATATTTTGGAACTAGGAGAGTATTTACCCCCTATAAAAAAATACCCTTTGAGAGGGATTAGAGTTTACATATTCAAAACTTGAAAATAAAAAACATACTTTTATAAATATAAAAAACAAATATATATATTTTTAAAAAAATTCCTTTACACCTCATCCAAATCCCAATCGTGGTCTACCTACCCCAAACTCGGGGGAGCCTTCGCCGCGCCGGCGAGACACCACATGCCTCCGGCGCATCCGCCTCCGTGCGGGGTCGCGCCCGCCGCGGCGGCGACCTGCCCCCTCTTCCTCCTCCCCCGCCGGAGCCTGAGCCGGAGCCTCCACCTCCGCCTCCGCCGCCTCTCCCTCCCCGCCCCGCGCGCCGCCTCCCACGCCCACGACGCCGTCCTCCTTCGCCGCGCCGCCGACGCGGCCGACCGCTCCGCGGGGCTCACCTCCCCGCACCCCAACTTCGGGTGCGTCATCGCCAGGCCCCAGCTCGAGACCGACAACGCCGAGGCATGGGTGGTGGGCGAGGGGTTCCTCTACGCGCAGGGCACGCCCTGCGCCGAGCTCCTCGCCGCCCAGGAGGCCGGCGAGCACGCCCGCGGCGCCACGGCCTACCTCAACCTCGAGCCCGGGGACTGCTACGGGGACAGCACTGCCGTTTCCACCCTAGTCCAGGTGCTAATCCTTGGCCCTTCGCTGTCGCTCCCTTCTTTTGCACGCACATCTCACAATTCACAAAATATAATGAAAATATTGTTCAAATTCCTACATCGTGATGCAAATTTCCTGCGCCGTGCTGACCGATCGCTGTTCGTGCGAACTCCAAGGGTAAAGCCACAACGATGACACTACTGTACCCTCCTGTCTCAGCTCCTACACATTAGTCCACCTTGCATAGGAGCTAATTTCGTCCAATCATCACTATGGCCACACCGAATCGTGCATTACTCTTAAAAGAAAAATAAACCAGTCCTACCTATTGTTTATGTTGTCTCTTATGAGATATCTTTGAAAATTGAAGCGCAATCGGTACGCTAACATTCTATTAGGCAGGAATTACAAGGGTTGTGGTTGGTCTTAGGCACCCCTTAAAGCACCTGAGAGGAAAGGCAATTCAATCACTACGAAATGAAGGCATTCAAGTTGACGTTGTGGGCGAGGATCTGCACAGTAAATTATTTAAGGTTTTCTCCTGGATTATACTTTTCTTTGTTTTGATTAGTTGCAATATTCTAATTAGTAGTAGTAGTAGTTGTTAAAGATTAAAGCTGTCACTATTCAGTAATTTTTCATCTACTCAACATCTTAAGCTACTAGGGGTATGTCATAACATGTTTAGAAAATTTTCTACAATAAAAAAAATCATTATCCATTGGGATATATTGCCAAAAAAAGGTAAGAATGATAATAATGCACAACAATAAATAATATTTCGCCAGGTAACTATAATTTGTATTCAGTTTGAAGGTTCTATTTATTATGTACACTGTACCATCATGTGAATGTTGTTTTAGTTTAGTAAATTTATTGCTACAAGTCAATATGGAGCACTTGAGCTCTCACTTGATGTTATGTCATTTTTGGTTAATTTGTATTAGTATCTAATTTAGTATCATAGAATATATCATTATTTGATATTTTCATTTATTGAGGTTCAGTTGAGCTTCTGCTGTTACTATTTTGATGGTTAAACCCCTCCACCATGTGCAATAATCTTTTTATGACTGACATTTGATGTACCTACTTTTTAAGTGGATGCTATTCGGCTAGTGTTCACCTTGGTATTTACCTTAATTAGTTTCAGTTTGTGTTTAATGTAGGAAGCTGTGTTTTCATCTAGAATATGAACATGTCGTTGCCTCGTGGTATACTGTATCGGTATATTTATATGCTCTCGTGGTAGTTATACTGTATTGGTATATTTGATTATGTCGTTGTGATTGTGGTAGTTATACTATGAATATTATCGATCTGTTCTTTCATTTTATGACCTTGATAATGTCTTTAGTTTTCACTGTAGGAAGCTCTTTCATAGCCTTGCTAATGTTTTTAGTTTTCACTGTAGGAAGCTCTTAAGTCATGCCTCATTGTAAATGCCCCATTACTTTACCGAGCTGCCTTCCGTGTTCCGTTCTCTGTCCTGAAGTATGCTATGACTGCAGATGGTAGGCTATATAATTCATTTGATTTGTTTATATTAATTCTGTCAATGTGTTATAATGCTATAGCTGAGCAAAAGTATCCAACCATGCTCTACTGGAAACTGGCAGGAAAAATTGCAGCAAGCAGTGGGCATGCATCTTGGGTAAGTGGCAAATCATCTAGAGGCAGAGTATTTGAATTGCGTGGAAGAAGCGATGCTATAATTGTAGGTGGAAATACAGTACGCCTTGATGGTATTGACTGGATAGTGCAATCTTCTATTTACTATATGTTTTATATATTGCTCCTCCATAAAATTGAATAGCTTTTGGTTGTGCCTTAGATCCTCGCTTAACTGCCAGGCATGTCAAGGGGCATGTTCCAGTGCGAATTGTAATGTCACAGTCTCTTAATCTTCCCGAGGAAGCAAATTTATGGAATGTACATGATGCATACACAATAGTTGCAACACAAAGAGGTGCTCGGAGAGATCTCCAAAAGAAACTTGCTTTGAAGGGTGTTGAAGTAGTGGAGTTTGACATGCTGAATCCTAGAGATGTTATGTCATATTGTTATGATCGTGGTTACCTCTCCGTATTATGGGAGTGTGGTGGGACCCTAGCAGCTTCTGCTATATCTGCAAGTGTTATTCATAAGGTAAATGTTTTTAAAATTAGATTCACACTATATGCATTCTATGTGCATTCACTAATGCTATAGATATCCAAGGTGAAAAGAACATGAACTAAATGGATACGAATTTATTTAGCCTTTATCAGCTTCTTATTTGCTACAATATGAATGCTGCAACGACTGGTAAGGAACCTTCTCATTGGGAATAATGTTGAAGCCTTTTACGTCTCTTAGAGGCCAACTCAACAGAATAATAAGGAAATATCTATGACTTCATTCACTTGTTTTGCAACACCACATGTGACATATATCCGATCGTTGCATTATGCACCTCAGCCTGTTAACACTTGTTGTATTACTTACTTGATTGTTGATTGATTATATTTATTAGACTTAATCTAGTTTTGTGCCTTAATTAGCATTTTGTTTGCCTTGTCCTTAGTGAACTCTATTTATAGTGTTGATTTTTACATTTTTGAACAGGTGTATGCATTCTTGGCTCCAAAAATAATTGGGGGAGTGAATGCTCCAACACCAGTCGGTGAACTAGGGATGAATCAAATGACTCAAGCGATTGATTTAATTGATGTTTCTTACGAGCAGGTTAACTATCTATGTTTTAGTTCAAATAAGTATGCATAGTAGCTGCTAAATTAAAATTTTTACTCCATAATTTATTTGTAGATCTCTCCCTTGTTTATGTAGAACTTATGATACCACCATTTTCATTCAGTTTGGACTAATGGCCTTTTCTTATTATATAATTTTGCATTGAACATCTGATTAACTAAACTGTTAGTGTACTCCTTCCGTCCCAAAAAGAATCAACCTAGGAGGGGATGTGACCCCTCCTAGGACAATGTATGTGGACATAGGAGGGGTCACATCCCCTCCTAGGTTGATTCTTTTTGGGATGGAGGGAGTAGGCCTGTAGGCATATGTATAATTTGGCATTTGTTGACAACGTCTGGATACTATATCTTTTTCTTTGCGATGGTGCAGATTGATAGGGACATGCTCATGAGTGGATTCATCCAACCTATTCCTGATCTCTCACCTGTAATACCATCTGTGGATGAAATGCCTTCAGTTGATCCAGAAGTATCTCCATATGAAACTAATATTATATCCTTCTACAAGACTTGGGATACCTTTGGTGCCTTCTCTAACTTTTCTCCCCATCCAATTCACATGCCCGATGAAAATGGAGACTATTTCACATGGCCAACAGTGGAGCACTATTACCAGGTTTATTTTTCTCTAACATTTTATTATTTTTGTGTGCTGTGAAAAAAAAAACACTTCATCAGGATTCACTGAAATGTTATCTTAGCCTTCAATATCATGAACTGTATGTAGAATCTTTGTTTGCACTGTGATCATTAAGCTCAAAGTTTATTCAGGCACACAAGTTTATTGGTGTTGATGATCCTCAAGCAAGAGAGATTGTCCAAGAAATAAAGCTGGCTAAGAGTCCTGAAGAAGCTGCTAGAATAGGACGCACTCGGCAAAGAGAATTTCAAGAATTGGTATGTTTGAATGTTCTGGTTACTTCCATATTTGCTTGTTATAGTAGGAAATGATCTAACATACTGAGGGGCTATTTGGTTCAAGGCCCAAAGTAGATAACTAATATTGTCAGTGTGAAAACCTGAAAAATGCCAAAGCGTGGAAAAATAGTTCTGTTTGTATTGTGGTTGTACCAATTTGCTTGCAATACCAAATTTGGCAAGAGATTTTCCACCCTTGGGTTTGCCTGCACATGGTGTTAGGTTTCATTTGAATTACCAAAAAATTCTTGGTGTAACCAAATTTTGCCTCCGAAGTGCCCCTGTTTGATTGACTGATTTGTCCCACTTCAGGAGCATAGCAGCATCTGTTGCAAAGTAGTAGGTCATTCTTGTACATAACCATAGCTCGCCTCTCCCTTTCTGTCCTGAGTTTTATATTTGCATGAAAATCATGCTACATCTTAGAAACTGGCCCTACCACAAAAGATCTCCTGTCTTTCATGTTGTGCTACTGCAGGAACCAATCCTTCTGTGACTTAATCCAAATTGGTTTTACTATCAGCATAATTAGTCCCATCATTTGGATGGGAAAGAACACTTACCCAAAATCCAATCAGACAATTACTACCCATCGAGGAGCAAAGTTTGTTTCCTTGATCCTTTATGTTTAATAGTTCGTAACCCTTGTCACTCAAGTGATAGAGGGAGACCAGGATGGTTGGAACAGTATAGGCCTGATACATGTGTATCAGGTCCGATATACGTGGGTATCAGGTATGATACCTAGGTATCATGCCTATACCGTTCCAGAAGTACACCGTCCCCTAGTATTTCTGCAAGTGATATTGTGGAATTCTTGTCTGCACACGCAATAAGTGGATAAGTGCATACAATTAGTAGTACATCTTAGGCAGTTCCTCCTTTCTTAAGTTGCAAAACATTTATAAAAGATACTCCCTCCGTTTTATAATGTAAGACTTTCTAGTATTGTCCATATTTATATAGATGTTAATGAATCTAGTCACACATATATGTCTAGATTCATTAACATCTATATGAATGTGGGCAATGCTAGAAAGACTTACATTATGAAACAGAGGAAGTACACAATAATTCAACTATTAATATGGTATATTTAGATGAAAGTTGTCTTACCATAACTTGCTACAAGAAACCTGTGATTGTCTGTGACTATTAGCCACCTGGCACAATTTTGTTCTTCCCTGTGGGTAACAATTTTCTGTTAGTTGAAATAAATGACCTATTAGCCACCTCGCACTCTGACAGTTCCAGCGTTGAACCAATATTCTGTAGGATCTCCATGACAATTGGCAGCAGTTCTCTCTGAAAATATGTGCCGCCTCAGTTTCCTAGTTACAATGACTACTTCACTAGTATATATTAATTTGTATTTTGCAATTTTAGTGTGATAATCTTGCTTGGTTATGTAAATCAATATAATAATTATTCTTTTCAATTATTTATTCTCTTAGGTACGACCAGATTGGGATTCCATCAAAATTGAAGTGATGTACAGAGCTACAAAGCGCAAGTTCTCAACTTATTCCCATCTGACTGACATGCTGTTGTCAACGGCTGGCTCTGTTCTTGTTGAGGCGTCGCCCCACGATTTATTTTGGGGCGGTGGGCGCGAGGGCGAAGGTATGAATTACTTGGGTAGATTGCTGATGCAATTGCGATCAGAGATTCTAGGAACAATTCAAACAGCTGTTGAGGTAGGGGAGCCAGCTTGATTTGCTGGAGAGGTGATCATAACAGCAGACGTTTTGATCTGGGGTATTTATATGTATCATTATGGTGATTGCCTTCAAAATTTTGTGAAACATTTGTTTCTTTATCTCTCTAAATTCCTGTAGAAATTTGAGATGCTTTCGTTGCCGAATTTTATTTGTTATCATCTTGTTGTACTGGTCTGGTCTGCAAATATAAAATCAGAGCAGAGATAGAGGATGCATATATCACCCAAAACAAATTGTTCACAGCAAGATTACTCTATACATATAATAAATAGTAAAGGAGGAAACCATGTAGTGCTACTATGAGATTTCTGCATACTTTTTTATTAAAACCTGATAACTAATTTAATCGCGTTTTTGCTGACGAAGAAGGGCTTCCTGCAATTCCTGAGAGCGCAGGGTGCAGCAGTAGCACGGGGCTTTGGGGATCCCCAGGAAGGCGTCGGCGTCGACGTCCTTGTAGTTGGTCTCGTCGACGACGACGCTGTAGGGTGTCTGGCGCCGGTCGAGGATTTTCCGGGAATCAAAATCCAGCCGCCGCAACGCCATCTTCACCCGCCTCGCGATCATCCTGTCGTACCCCCGCCGCAACGCCATCTTCTCACGCTCCGCCGCCGCCGCCACCTCCTCCGGCGTCCTCACGACCTCCTCCTCGTTCTCGTCCAGCTCACGTATTACCACCATCGTCACGTACGAGTACGTTCACGTACCTTGTCGATTTGGAATTGGTGCGGCCGTCTGACTATTGGGGATTATTTTGAAACCCGTCCGTCCGTAAGTAACTCGTCTCTCCGACTGCAAAAGCGAAGCTGTTTTTTTTTTTAATAATTAGAAAATTAGAAAATAGCGAAGCTGAATAGGGCATGTTTATTGGTAGTGACGAGTATGGTCTCTTAAACAATACAAGATTAATACAAGATTATGTAGAGACCGTGTCTTTACAATAGTTGAGACGACAAAGTCTCTAATCATTAACTTCAAAAATATTCCTTTTGTTAATATTCTTTTCATTTTTTTATCCTCATGCAACCATATTTCCATATTACAATGATTAAGAGTCGTTGTTAGGGTATGTATAAAGGTAGAGTCTAATATGAGCTACCTATATTAATTAATATCACTAGAGACTATCTTTTTACAATAGTAGAGACAATACGATTTCTAAACCATTAATGCACTAAATATTTTTTTATTATAATTCTTTTCTTTTCTCCAACCTCATGCAACAAACTTTTCGTTAATAAATGCTAAGAGTCGACTCTGAAAAGAGCCCGTTATTAGACACCATTGTACATGCCCTTAAGCCGTTGTTATGCATAACAACGATGCTTTGTCTCTCCTCTTTCTCTTTCTTGTTGGAAATTTGGTCATAATTCGGCATATTTTAATCCAAAATAACAAGATAATAAACATGATATTTACAATAGGATTTGATCCAGTGATAGTGGTGAATGTAATCAACATGAGCATGCTTAACGTTGAATAAGCATCAACAATCACATAATGACACAATGTTGACATTGCGATGAACATTAACGGTAAAACTTCTAATTGAAATAATGTAATAAGGTTATACCCCAAGAATGGTCCTCCGCTGGAGTTTGAGGCAGTATTGCCTCCGTTGGTGTTGATGGGAGTCTCCTTCTCCTTGTCTCCAGTGTTCGACATGTTGGTGAAGATGAAGTAGATGTTGACGAACAGTGAGTAGTCGCGCCTTGCGCTCCCCAAAAACCTGATCGCCCGCCCGTCTGTGCAAACGTCGCAGCAACGCGTGGTTTCGGAGGCCTACTCTCCCAACGCGTGTGCACACACTCGTCGGGATGGGATTACCGTAGCAACAACAGCTTTGGAAAATGGATGAAAGTGTGTCTTCTTTTTCTCGCGGGAGATCAAATCCATTCCCATTTTATAAGATGAATGGAAGATGAAGAGTAAGAGTCATGGAATAGGAAGAGGAATGGAGCAACTAATTGTCATCAACTAGCCATGAACCATCCTCCACTACACAACCATCAACCAACAATCAATTAAGAGTAATTGATGTAAGTTACCAATGGAATAGGAAGAGGAATAGAGCAACTAAATGTCATCAACTAGCCATGAACCATCCTCCACTACACAACCATCAACCATCCATCAATTAGGACTAATTGATATAAGTTACCAATTCCTTAATCAAATGGATTAATTCTCAAAACTCTTCATCCCATTGATATCCCATAGAAGAATGAATTCACATGAATTCCTAGCATAATGAGCCTTGGAATTTATTTGATTTAATTGATTTAAATGGATTAATTACCCAATTAAATCTAACAATCCCCACCAAATTTTCAAGGCTCATGAGAATGCTCTCTATTCCATAGCAGCTTTTATATACCAGTGTTTCGGTGAAGACTGTTAAGTTGAACTTTCACCTAGAAAAGGAGCTACACCTGACCACAACTGAACAATGGACTATGCCTTGAATTGTCAGTCTTGTGCAGTTAGGTTTCACTCAATTCCATAACTGATACTAGGCAACCATTAGTATTCCCTCGGGTTGGAGCTTATAAGTCATACTCCAGGCCTTTCATGAGTATCTAGAGATCACCCAAATCTCATAGACTGTGACTAGCAGTCGAACTCATATAGGTGTGTTCCTTCTAAGATGTTCTGCAGGTCAACATCTCTGCTTGGAAAAGCCACTCGGATCACATTAAGACATAAGCCATCCTACCATACAGGAAAGAAGAGAAGCACATCATGAAAATGAGCCCTTTTCAAGGGTCTCTTCTCTCAGTCACACAATAGTTTGTTTCACCATCCAAATTCACGGGATCTCCGATCATAATGGACAGGTTTCCACTATTATGCAACCTTAGGTGGGTATCAAGCCTATTTCCCTCGATGCACTGTCTATCACATTACGTGGTAGCCCCTTGGTAAACTGATCTGCCAGATTTCTAGCCGTTTGGACATAGTCCAATGCTATCACTCCGGAGTTTTTCTGCTTTCTGACAGATTTCAGTCTTCTCTTGATGTGTCTAGATGACTTCATGTTGTCCTTTGAACTGTTCACTTTAATAATCACTGTTTGATTATCGCAGTTCATTAGGATAGCTGGCACTGGTTTTTCAACCACCGGCAAATCTATCAGGAGTTCACGAAGCCACTCGGCCTCAACTGTCGCAGTATCTAGTGCTGTAAGTTCTGCTTCCATTGTTGACCTCGTTAAGATGGTCTGCTTGCAAGACTTCCAGGAAACAACGCCACCTCCAAGTGTGAACACATATCCACTTGTGGCTTTTATCTCATCAGCATCAGATATCCAGTTTGAGTCACTATACCCTTCTAGTACTTTTGGATACCCGGTATAGTGAATTCCATAGCTCATAGTACCCTTTAGATAGCGCATTACTCTTTCCAGAGCCTGCCAATGATCATCTCCCGGATTTGAGACAAACCGGCTCAGCTTGCTTACAGCAAATGAGATGTCAGGCCTCGTTGCGCTAGCCAAGTACATCAATGAACCAATGATTTGAGAGTATCTCAGCTGATCCCTTGCTATTCTTCGGTTTTTCCTTAATAGCACGCTGGGATCATAAGGAGTAGGAGCTGGCTTGCAGTCACTATATCCAAAGCGACTCAAAACCTTGTCCACATAGTGGGATTGCACAAGTGAATCCCACCCTCATCTCCTCTTTGTAGTTTGATGTTAATAATAACATCAGCCTCTCCCAAATCTTTCATTTCAAAACTCTTGGACAGATAGTCTTTGACCTCCTCAATCACATTAAGGCTGGTCCCAAAGATCAGTATGTCATCGACATATAAGCACAAGATCACCCCTTCTCCCCCACCATAGCGATAGTATACACATTTGTCAGCTTCGTTCACAACAAAGCCTGCAGATGTAAGCGTGGTGTCAAACTTCTCATGCCATTGCTTAGGTGCTTGCTTGAGGCCATACAAGGATTTCAATAGTTTACACACCATTCCCTCCTGACCTTCTAGTACATACCCGTCTGGTTGATCCATATAGATCTCCTCCTCCAGCTCTCCGTTTAGGAAAGCTGTCTTAACGTCCATCTGATGGACGAGAAGACCATGAGAGGCTGCCAGAGCAAGTAGTACTCGAATCGTGGTCAAGCGAGCAACTGGTGAGTATGTGTCGAAGAAGTCCTCGCCTTCCTTTTGGGTATAACCCTTGGCCACAAGCCTTGCCTTGTACTTTTCGATTGTACCATCAGGCCTAAGCTTTTTCTTGAAAACCCATTTGCATCCTACGGGCTTGCACCCATATGGACGCTCAACGACTTCCCAAGTACCATTAGACATAATCGAGTCCATTTCACTGCGTACTGCTTCCTTCCAGTAGTCAGCGTCAGGAGATGAATATGCCTCTTCTATGGTTCTTGGGGTGTCATCCACGAGGTATACAATGTAGTCATCTCCAAAGGATTTTGCAACCCTTTGTCTCTTACTCTTGCGAGTATCTACAATGTTGCCCTCCTCAGGATTTTCCTCAGGCGTTTGATCATTGTGTTCTATCGGTGCAAAGTGCTCATGGGGCATGACAGTTTCTTTACTAGAAGTGCTAGGTGTATATTTCATAGGAAATTCATTCTCAAAGAATGTAGCATCTCTGGACTCAAGAATTGTACCAACATGCATGTCGGGTACTCCAGAGTTTACTATTAAGAATCTATAACCCACACTGTGGATAGCATAACCAAGAAACACACAATCAACAGTTTTTGGTCCAAGTTTCCGCTTTTTGGCTATAGGTACATTTACCTTGGCCAAACAGCCCCATGTTCGTAGGTATGAGAGATTTAATTTCTTCCTTTCCCATTCCTCGAATGGTGTTACTTCCTTATGCTTCATTGGAATTTTATTCAGGACATGACACGCAGTCAAAACTGCCTCACCCCACCATTCCTTGGAAAGCCCCGCAGTGTCTAACATGGCATTCACCATCTCAGTTAGAGTACGGTTCTTTCTTTCGGCCACCCCATTTGATTGGGGTGAATAGGGAGGCGTCATCTCATGAATAATTCCAAACTCTTCGCAAAAGGATGCAAACTCATTGGAAAAATACTCCCCACCTCTATCAGACCCAACCGTTTGATTTTCCTTTCAAGTTGGTTTTCTACCTCAGCTTTATAGATTTTAAAGAAATGCAATGCCTCATCCTTTGTTTTCAATAGATACACATAGCAAAATCTAGTGCAATCATCTATCAGTGTCATGAAATATTTCTTTCCCCCTTTAGTCAACACGCCGTTCATTTCGCACAAATCGG